AACTATGTTACAGACTTTTCATTAAGACCCTAAAGAATCATATCAACTTGTGGAAAATGGGCGTCATATGACCCCTTTAAATAACTGGTAAAATAATGCATTACTTTTTAATTTGGAAGGAAATATCGGCGTCACTTTTTCAAATAAGTAACGCCAGTTACTTTGTTTCCATGTGTTGAGTGACAGCTCTGGTGTTGCCGTGGTGACAGAAATCAGGAGTAAGTGCAGAGCGTTGTGTGTGAACATGATCTTACTGTAGTTCTAGACTAAATATCAACATGTGTTTACTCATCTCACTGCACACAAACACATTCAGTGTTCCTCACAATTAATAAAAACAGTCAAATGCAAACTCAGAATATTATACAAACCTGCAATAATTAAATGTTAAATAAGACAAATATAATTTTTGTATTTAATCCCATTTTATTAACCATATGTCTTTGCTACTGACCTTCGATGATCCAATTCAACCATACTAAGCAAAAATGACACGTTTGTGTTTCATTTGTGTTTCTGCTGAATAGTGTTGAACTTGCGTCATATTCTTCATGTGATTAGTTTGAGCTGCGCCCTCTACTGTACAGACGTGGATTTACATTTCCTTCAGCCTGAGACATATTCATTTCACTTCTGTTGTGAAAGGGCTTTTACAACTTTTTATATTAAAAACAAACACGCAAGCCCTGCCCAGATTTAAAAAGTAACTCAAAAATAACGTAACGCATTACTTTCCATAAAAATTAACTAAGTAACACAATTAGTTACTTTTTTAGAGAGTAATGCAATATCGTAAGGCATTACTTTTAAAAGTAACTTTCCCCAACACTGTTCATTTGCCTTTTAAGATTGCAGCGGCTATGATCGCTCTATATGTTAATCTGTGTTGAATTAGCACACAGCGAGCGTAATATCATAAATTCAAAAGCTCAATCATGAGTAAACGCACTTCCACAGCCCATCACACATGACAGCCAGGCCTCCGTGTTGCATTTGCTAAATTGGAGCGCTGTAGACAGTTCCCCATATTGATATAATTACCCCCTCGCT